TCTTCTGTCATCACGTTCTATTAGTTCTACAGCTTCAGTTTCGGAACTTTCACGCTTAGTAACACATACAGCTGTTCCCTCACCACAGTACACCAGTGAAAAGAGACCCCTTTCAAACAGTGTCGCGTTCCGAACATTGTTTAAGCAACATATACCGGTATTGCGGTATTTTAAAAATTCATATCATAACAAAAATAAACACCGGTATTCGGTATGAACCGGTATACCGCCCAGCACTACTCTTTGGTCATTTTTGAGTGAGATGCTAACGGTCTAATCAGATTCAATGATCTATGCTAAGCTAAGCTACAGCTAAAAGTGCTACGCCAGACCCGGAGATCGGCTGAATGGATTCGAAAACGGTAAAACTCAACTGTTTAACTCTAGAGGAGTTGGAAAATGAGCCTATTTTCAAAAATAGTGGCGTGTTCCTTTAAGAGAAGTTCAAAAGAAAAATATGTGCATGACTCCTCTACCTACATCATATAATGATGATATCTGAAAAAGTAACCATTTTTAGCCTCTTTCAGAGAATTGCACTCTGTGAGCTCATCACCAGATGTGCAAAACATCTGTTTAAGACATATCTTTTGGTGAGTGTCCAGAAATCACTTATGGTTTTTATAATGCTTGGTGGGGATATCACTAATATAATGTTGTATATTATGATACCCTTGCCAAAACCTGTTCTTATATGCTTAATGCTTTGTCTCTGCCCCAGGCTGTAGAACCATCTGCTCTGTCTGCCTCCGTCAGCCATTTCCTCAACTGCTTCCTGAGCGCCTTCGCTGATGCCGGAGTCATTCAGCAGAACGACAAGTTAGCTTCTAGACGCAGGAGTCGGAGAAGGCGGAGCCGTGCGTCTGTGGGCGGCACTGTGACCGCCTGGTCCAACCTCACTCCGACTGACCTTTGGGGGGCCATTAAAGCTGAGGCTCAGAAGTACTACCATTACAACCTGCCCTGGTGAGTGTCCTGTTCTCTGAACACAAATAGATGCTGTGCTGTGATTTGATATGATTAGGATCTCATCTCCTTCTGGCAGTGGAGGTGTGGAGGAGGCCGTGAACAAATGCAGGCTGCAGAGGATCACCCTGCTCAGAGAGATCGCCATCAAAACTGGCATTCAGGTATATCAGTTTGTACTAGATATGATTTAACATGAGTTTTTGTCAGTCACTGTGCTTCTCTCTAACTCTGATAACTACTCCATCTCCATCTCTCCTTCAGATTCTTTTAAGAGAATATCACTTTGATTCTGAGCACAAAACTGTATTCACTGAAGAGGACATCCTTAACATTTTCCCCGTAGTAAAGCACATCAGCCCTAGGTCCAGAGATGCGCTTTTTCTCCTGCATTGTGGTCAGTCTAGGGTACAGCAAGGTGAGCATTCAGAGTAACTCTAGGTGTAGGAGTAATTTAGGGGACAAATGTTATTAGCCTAAAATATTTTAGTTTATTATTTTGTATTTTAATTTATTGTATTGTATTTAAATTTATTTTATTTTTAAAGTGTCAACAATTATTGGAATATATTAACACAAATCTAAATAAATGTATTTAATAATAATACAAATAATAAATATTATTTTTTAGTTAGATTCTCAAGGCATTTTACATACAGAAGAACAAGAGAATAAAAATAAAAATAAACACAAGGACAGCTGATATACATGTATATGCATATGTATATGAATATACACTAGCGTTCAGAAGTCTGGGGTAGGATATTTTTAAAGAAGTCTCTTATTACCACCAAGGGTGCATTTATATGATCAAAACAAAGTAAAAACAGTAATTTTATATATAATACAATAATACATAATACAATTTAAATCATTTCTATTTTAATATATTTTAGAATGTAATTTATTCCTGTAATCAAAGCTGAAGTTTTAGCAGCCATTGCTCCAGTCTTTGGAATTTCTGATTCTTTAGAAATTATTGTAATATGCTAAAATGGTGCTCAAGAAATAATTCTTATTATCATCAACGTTAAAAACAGTTGTGCTGCTTAATATTTTTGTAGAAACTGTGATACAGTTTTTTCAGGATTCTTTGATGAATCAAAAGTACACCATTTATTAGGAATATAAATCTTTTGTAACATTTTAAAATGTCTTTACTGTCACTTTCGATCAATTTAATGCATCCTTGCTAAATAAATGTTTTAATTTCATTCAAAATATAAAAACTTTTACTGACCCCAAACTTAATCGAACCTTAATCTTTAGTCTCTTTTGTATGTTTGTGCATCACTAGGTTGTCTGAAAGAGGGCTGTGAGTTAATAAGCCAGGCTCTGGGTCTCTTCACTAACGTCTACGGAGCTCTGCATCAGGATGTCTGCATATGTCTGCGGTTACTGGGACGCATACACTACATCCTCGGAGACTATGCTGAGGTATCACGTGTTCTAGAATGACAGATGAGCCTAAATAAGTCATTAGAAAATGACATTTTGAAACAAACTTTGAATTTTATGCTGTCAGGCCCGCAGTCACCAGCAGAGGGCTGTGCTGATCAGTGAGAGAGTTCTGGGAATTGAGCGTCCTAACACTATACAGGAATATGTAAGTAAGCATCTTTATTGATTCAAATAACTCTGGTTTACTATAGTATCATACACTTATGCTGGCATCAATATATGAAAGGGACGATCAAAGTTCTTTCCCCTTTGTGTAGAAGCACCTTGGTCTTTATTGCTTTGCTGGGGGGCAGTCCGTGACAGCACTGCGATTACTATACCGTGCTCGCTACCTGATGCTCCTGGTGTGTGGACAGGACCACCCTGAGATGGCTTTACTGGATGTGAGTTATAATGATAGCAATGTGATAATAATGAATAACACAGAAGTTGAAAACATCAACTAGTGGCCACCAGTGTGACATGCTGTACTCCATCTGCAACTGTTTTAAATGTTATTTAATTTCATTTAATTTAATATGTTCATCAAAGCTGCATTTATTTGATCAAAAATACAGTAATAAGAATTACTGTAATATTGTGAAATTTATTTTATTTGAAAAACAATTTAAAAGAACTGTTTAAATACACTACCGTTCAAAAGTTTGGGATCAGAACGATTTTTTATGTTTTTAAAGGAGTTTCTTATGCTCATCGAGGCTGTATTTATTTGATCACAAATACAGGAGAAAATGTAATATTGTGAAATATTTTTACGATGTAAAATAATGTTTTTCTATTTTAATATACATTAAAATCTAATTTATTCCTGTGATGCAAAGCTGAATTTTCAGCATCATTACTCCAGTCTAAAGTGTCACATGATCTTCAGAAATCATTCTAATATGCTAATTTATTGGCAGCACAACTGTTGCCAACATTGATAATTCCAATAATAAATCAGCATATTAGAATGATTTCTGAAGGATCATGTGACACTTTATACTGGAGTAATGGCTGATGGAAATTCAGCTTTGCATCACAGAAATAATTAATGAAAGGAAATTAAAATAGAAACCATTATTTTATATTGTAATAACATTTTGCAAGATTACTGTTTTTGTCTGTATTTTTGATCAAATAAATGCAGCCTTGATGAGCATAAGAGACTTCTTTAAAAAACATTACAAGTCTTACTGATCCCAAACTTTTGAACTGTAGTGTATATTTCAATGAGATTTTTTTCAAAAAAGAAAGTAATAGTTTTATGCAGCCGTGACGCATTAAATTGAACAAAAGTGACAGTAAAGACATTTATAATGCAACAAAAGATTTCTATTTAAAATAAATGCCGTACTTTTGAACTTTGTTTTCATCAAAGAATACAGAAAAACAACTGCTTTCACCATTAAAAGGATAGTTCACCTTCAGTTGCTGGTCCCCATTGACTTCAATAGTATGGAGAAAGAAAAAAAAACACTATGCAAGTCAATGGGGACCAGCAACTGAAGGTGAACTATCCCTTTAATAGTAAATGTTTCTGCAACCAAATCAGCATATTAAAATGATTTCTAAAAGATCCAGTGACACTGAAGACTGGAGTAATGGCTGCTGAGTATTCGGCTTTGCCATCACATGAATAAATTACATTTTGAATATATTCAAATAGAGAACAGTTATTTGAAACTGTGTTTTTATTGTATTTTCATAAAACAAATGCAGGCTTGATGAGCATAAGATACCTCTTTTAAAAACATTTTTAAAAATATTACTGACCCCAAACGACTGAACAGTAATACTTTCCCTCATGCATTCATATAAATTTCAATCTCATGGTATTTGCATCTCCCCCAATATTGATAAATAATGGTCATACATATCTTTGCAAATGTTTGATACTTAAGTACTAAATACAAAAAAATTGAATTAAAACACTTTTAACTGAAACATATTTTTGTTCATCTCCTGTACAGAGTAAGATAGGTCTTGTGCTTCATAGTATGATGGCCTGTGATCTTGCCCTGAAGTTCCTCGAGAACGCCCTTGCCCTGACCTCCAAATATCAGGGACCCTCGTCTCTCAAACTGGCACAAAGGTGAAGAGTGAACAGAAACACATCGTGATGGATACATTACTCATAAATTCTCAACCTGACAAAAAACATAAATGAAAAGTGTTTTAAAACTGTCATTATCCTGTCCCTCTTTACAGTCATCACTTATTGGCAAAGGTGCATGAAAGTAAAGGAGATTTCCGTGCTGCACTGACGCATGAAAAGGAGCGTTATGACATATACAGGAAGCAGGTGAATGATTACATTCCCACAATGATAAGCAGATTTGTTTTGCCTTGATTTTCATAAATGCTACTTTAATAGGTTGGAGAAGAGCACGAAGAGACCCAAGAAAGTTCAGAGTACCTAAAGCATCTGACACATCAAGTAGTGATTCTACAGAAAACTATGAACTGGATCTGCAAAACTGGCTCGGACACCAATATTCTCCCTCTCAATGTTAGTATTGTACATAACATAGAGAATACATGTGTCTTAGTTCAAGTCAAGTCAAGTCAAGTCAAGTCTGCTTTATTGTCAATTCTTCCACATGTACAGCACATACACACAGAGAATTGAAATTGCGTTACTCTCAGACCCTTGGTGCATACAGATAACACTAACAGTAGAACATAAATACAGATATACAGATTAAATATAAAATACAACTATACAAATATACAAATAAGGTAAAATGTAAAAAAGTTGAGCCCCAGCTGGACCAGTTTGTGAATGACAAAAATGCATAGTTGATGCATAGTTGTATAATAATCATGAATTAAATACACTGTCTTCGGCTTTGCTTCATCCTCATATAGCTGAACTCTCCAAGTCGTGTCTGGATAATGGAGCAGCTAAATCTTGTCACTGGAATTGTCCTTATTCCTCTTAGGTAAGAGAGACCTGAAAGTGTACTAGGAACCGTTTAATTGTTCTTTGATTGCAATGTAATTATAACTGTGTTTAATATAAATGTGTTTTTCCAATTGAGGGCAGTTTTAAATCCTAGTTTTTTTTTCTTCTTTTTTTATTTTATTTAAACTTATTTATTTAGCTTAGGGCTGCACGATTAATCGAATCGAATCGCGATCGTCATGCACATTTTGTCAGTAAAGCCGGTTCTGTGATTAGTAGTAAATCTCCATCACCTGCTTTCAGGTGGAGCAGCATTTACTACACAGAGCTGTAGTTCTCTGCTACGGAAAATTGCGTTCATAATCGCAGACGATATAATCGTAGGATTATGAAATCGACTAAATCGTTCGCGATAATGACAGCTGTTTGCATATCTTCTCAGTGAACTACAGCTTTGTGTAGTAAATTCTGCTCCATCTGAGAGCACGTTTTTACTCCAAACTCACTTCATAACGTCAGTCGAGTGTTTGAAATAAATCCTTCTGTGACACGATGTGGCTTCTTACACAGAATAATTAAGGCACATAATATTTCATTGTATTCTAAGCAGTGATAAAGGCTATGTCGATTAGCATTTCATTATAGTCAAGTCAAGTCATGATGAAAATTATAATAATAAGAACTCAGATAAACCATATATTGCCATAGTCGTGAGGCGGGTAGAACACAAGTCATCAGGGCAGTTATTTGAGATTTTGACTTACTAGTCATATGGAGATTATAGATTATAGATATTATAGATATACTTTATTATGATGAAAATTATAATAATAAGAACTCAGATAAACCATATATTGCCATAGTCGTGTGTTTATTAGTCACGTTGAATCAAAGAAAGCAGTTAAATCTTCTGTTTATTCAGCAACCGCTATAGGGATTTCCTGGGTTTCTTCTGCTAGGCGTATTTGGAGTTTCAGCGCGAGAGCGCCCTCTGGCCTTTGGATGGAGATTTACTACTGGATTTTTCCGCACGAGAGCGCCCTCTGGCCTTCGGATGGAGATTTACTGCTGATCACAGAACCGTGCTTCACTGAAAGATACGCATGACAATCGCAGCTTCTGCCTAATCGCGTTTCATCGCCTTTGCGATTTAATTTCGATTAATTGTGCAGCCCTAATTTAGCTTATTATTTAATTAATTAATTTATTAACAGGTTTAAAAAATCTTACTTTTTGTTCTATGAAAGTCACATTAAAATTGTCAAAATTTTCTCTATATTATACTCTCTTTGATTGACTCTTTAACATGCAGCCATATTTTAATTCCCTGAAGTAACAGAGACCTTGTGAAACTCAGGACTGATGCTCAGAAAACGTCACAGCTCGTACGAAATAATGTTCAGTCAATGGAGGATCTGCAGGGGCTGTTTGAGGACCACGACACATCACAAGCTATAACTCAACAGGACTTAAGCCTTGTAATTTAAGACTGCACTTTAAATAAAGTGAACAAACAGATGAGCCCTTAAATGAACAGTTGTAGTTGGGATTTAAACATATCAACATGAAATTAAAAATGTGTAAATGTAACTCTTGACCAAATAGTGTGGTGGATGATCTTATATATATAGCACTCCCTTTAAAAAGCACGAGTGTATCTGGCTGTTGAGTGTATCTAGGCAAATTTGCACATTTGTAAACCAGACTGTCTGATCATTTATGTCTTCTTTGTACATTTTGTGAATATTGCACTATATATGTATAAGAGCCACTGAGCAGTGACTAGCAAAGAGGGCTAATGCATGCACTTCATACTTGACTGAGTTTGGCTTGATTTCAAGAATTTAGGACAAGAAGTATTATTATTGCATTGTGATAAAATTATTTGTGAAAAGTGCTACAAATAAAGCAGTAAATAACATTAATTATTTATATAGTTTTTATTAATATTTTAAATTCGCTTTTATTTTTAGATTTGCAGTTTTCATTTTATCATTTTTATTTTTTAAATATTATTATTTAGGTCATTTTTATTTCAGTAGTTTTAATTTTCAGTTTAGTTTGTATTTATTTCCATGTAGTCATTTTAATGCTTCAAATTAAACCTATTTCAGTTAGCTTCCAAAGCAACATTTCTAATTTTCATTTAGTTTTTCATCTAATTTTTGTATTTTATTTTATTTCAGCTTTATTTCATTTAACAAAAAAATGTTTTTAGTCGTTTTCGTGTTAGTTAACATCTGCAACACATTGTTCCCATGTTTACATTTATTAAAATCGTAATAATTTACGTAATTAATAATGGCTCACGCAGAAATGTAATGACATTTTCTTATGATATACAGTAGCCTCACTGACCATTTGCACTTATCCATCATAGGTGCAGTACATTGCTTTGCGCTATGTGCAATAATATAACTGAAGAGGATCACATCATTTGAATGATTTTACATTAGTAACAACTGTAACACTGTAGTAGTACGTTTGTTTTTAGATAAATGTTTAAAAAATAAAAATAAACAAAACAAATATTCATATTTGGAATACCCATGGTTAAAAATACGGATATTCGTAAATGCCAATATTTATTGAAACGAAACACCGTCAAAAAAGCTCATAAAATGTGTCAGCTGAAGGTTATGATGTAAGTGACCGCTGTGATCCTCAAGGCGGGCGCGCACCCGTCTGCACCGTGCTCGCACCCGTCTGTACCGTGCGCGTGCCCGTCGCCAGTAGACGGTTATGCGGTGCAGAAATCAAGGAGGAGAAACCGCGCCGCTGACTGAGCCGGAAAATCGGAAGTGATTTTCAGCAGAGACCTATCTCATTCGTTTTCTTTTTTACCTGGCTGTGTGATCAGACAGATGAGAAACCCTTCATATAAGAAGGTAAGGATAGTTTATATTTGCTGCTAGCTGCGCTATAGTGAAAGTGAGTCGGGGAAAGTGTGTATGTGGCTGCGAAATTTGCGCCGCCCTGCCTGACTGACTCAAAATGGCGGATAGGCCGTTAGAACAAAATAAGGGTGGGAATATCAGAGAGCCATATAAACTAAAGCCGGTAATGGCATAACTTGAATAGAAAAGTAGATTCATCCTCATGTAATTAAATTAAACCTCTTGTCTGACCTGAAATTTGTGACTGCCGGCCTTAAGTGATTTGACACCTAATGTTAGCTAGTTCATGTTAGCATCCTCTCCGCACTAAACTCATTGAATAAGTAATAACAACTGGTGTCATTTGTATTTATGTGTATCAAAAGCTCTGTCGCACTACCGTGGCTTTAAAGCCGTTAAAGTTGTATTTCAGTGGCTGGTGTTGGTGAAATCTGGGATTGGGTGTGCCTGTGACGGCTGAAGGCCGGAGATTCATCACGTCGATGCCGGTGCATAACTATGTTTCGCTACGGTTATGATAAAATGCTGTTTAATCTGTCAACAAGGGCGTGTATGATGTGTTATGCTGCGTTAGCTAATCAATAGTCGAGCCGTTCATGATTATAGTTGGCAAACAAATTGTCAACGTTGACTGTGGCTGCCGTCATATTTTGATTCAGTTTTCAAGATGGAATGATTTTGAATAAGATAAATATGCGATACTTAAGTCTTATTGTGAGCCCCCAGAAACTTAATGTTGTTAAGACATTAATAAATATGTGCTAAGCTACATCACCAGCTCAAGAATCATGACATGTTCTCGGTAACACTATATATTTATGCTCGCACGCCTTAGATTATTCAGCTGTCATCACTCTCTCCTACCACGTGGGCGTTGCCTTACTGTGGCTAATGATTATTATTTATCCGGCCTAATTCATTTTAGGCTGCTTGGCCTGAACTTGCCTTACATCTGACGTCATTCAGTGTGACGTATTTATTGCAATCTAATTATAATGTGAGTAATTTTTTTTTTTAACCCTACCCAGATGAAAATGACACTGACACAACTGGCTCACAATTCTTGAGAATTTCTTGGAAATAAAACTGGTTATCAATTAATTATGTATGTTGTAGGCCTTTTTCCATAAATACATCCAATGTGCTCCTATATATTTGGAATTATTGTAAATTAAGACCTGTTCACACACCAACATAAATGCTTAACACGAAATCTGGTAGATCTAGTGCTGTCAAAGTTCATGCATTAACGCATTAATGCAGTCTCACTTAAAAACAAAAAATAGGCTAGATATATCATAGTTAACGCAGGTTCTATTTGACCCTATGAATCACCCGCAGTTCAAGCCATGGTTGCAAGGTCCGCGGTATTTCTTTGAACCAAACATTATTTGTAGCACGCCGCCCATCCATTATTCACAAAGAGCTTTGTGCTCTGTTACTTCTAATAAAAAAACATAGTCTCATCTCTCAAATTCTGTCCATTTTGTCACAAAATTCTTACAATAAATGCTCAGATTGCTGCATTTATGTTACTCCGTACTAATCAGAACATTGCTAAATTATCGCCAAATGTTAATGTGAAACATAGACTGATTTCAAGATTGTAGGCCTATATCAAAATTTACCCGGTAGTTATCAACACCATAGCTACATAAAAAGCATGGTGCATTTTTGTTGCAGCATTACAATGTTCTTCTAGCAACTCTAATATTTAGCATACTTTTTATACAAGTATACAGCCAATCCTCACTGATTTTAGTGTATTGTGGAGATTTATTGGGAGTAGATGTTTCTGTCAATGGGGCAGCCTTAGAAACGGTTTGAGACACACCTATAGACCAGTTAACTGCATCAGAGCACAATTAAACCAAATCAAAATTCAACATGCTGTCATTTCCGCACTAGTGGTTTATGCTGTTGTAATGAAAGTATTAGCTTTGTTTTAAAGTCCCCCTGTAGTCAAAAAATGTATCCTTTAAAACTCATCTTTGATCATCAAAATGACATATTTAAATGTTTTTTCTTGGGAAAATAATTTTCTCATGCCGTAAAATAGCTTGAATGTAACTCTACACCCTTGCCTCAATTACTATACGCGGATCTATGAATACGCAAATTAGCCCCGCCTCCACTCAGTCATACACCAGCCAGCCATGAGCCAGCGCCTCCTGATCCACTAACTGAACTGTAGTAAACGGCATACAATGGCAATGGCAAGTGTAAATACTGGTTTAATTAAGCCATATGTGTTTGAACCAGAAATAAGCTGGTATGCTCAATGCAAGCAAGGAGACTGATGGCTAACTTCGTGAGGTAACATTATCTGTTTGCTCTGGTTCGTACACTGATAATGACTGATAAAACTGTTTTACTAGCGGACAACTACAGTGGATACTGTAACATTCGTTAAATTTACTTACTTGACAATGTTGTGTCCTCAAAATACCTTGAAGACTCAAATGCAGTGAAACAGTTTGTGATTTCTAAATCGCGCCCACGAGCATACGCGTGTGACGTGCGGATGTCATTGCGGGAGAGGTGCGTCTGACTCCGGGCTACTTTTATACTGCTGCCGTGGGTTATTATTCAAGTTAGCGGTTCTAAATACAAATAAATAAGCGCTAACAGCACATGACATCATGAAATTTGGGGGAAATATTAAAGGGCTCATATGATGTTGCTAAAAAGAACATTATGTTGTGTATTTGGTGTAATGAAATGTTAATGCGGTTTAAGGTTCAAAAAATATTATTTTCCACATACTGGACATTATTGGTTCTCCTCTATGCCCCGCCTTTCTGAAACGCTTCGATTTTTACAAAGCTCATGAGTCTGAAAAGCGAGGTGTGCTCTGATTGGCCAGCTATCCAGTGCGTTGTGATTGGCCAACTACCTCAAGCGTGTGACGGAAATGTTACGCCCCTTACCATATTGTGATGCCGTGTACCGGCCGGAGCGAAGAGACAAAAACATTAAAACCCATTATAAACGAGGCATTTGTTGCATCCAGTGGGGACATCAGCGATCCACAGCGCGAAAATGATGTATTTCCTCGGCGACCAGCACAGATCAGCTCCAGGCATGATGAAGCGGATATCGTCCTCTTTTGGAAGGCCAAACAAAGTAGTTTCGTTTTCACAACGAAACACACGGCAACAATACTGCAGCGAGAATCAAAGTTACGCCTTCTTTCTTTGCGTGAACATTTGGGCGGTGTTATGCAAATCTTCCCACATCGTGACGTAGACATGTGGGGGCGTGTTAGAACGAGCCGTTTTAGGTAGGCGTGGTTGACTCTTAACTTTTATAAAGAATATCTCTTTGGATTTGAGACTTTAGTCTTTGCAACTGTACAGATCTTCTTTATGCACCAAGAGCTTGTAACACTCCAAAGAGAAAGGAAAAATTGAAATCGCATCATATGACCCCTTTAACAGTTAGTGAAACATCTACAGAAAAAATATAACTGTTACCGGATTAACCTCTCACTAGACCCTCTGCTTTGCAGCACAGTTAATGATACGCTAAGGATAGAATCCCTTGACGCGATTGGTTATTGAATTTTGTGACGTAGAAAAAAAAGGCCGCGTTTCAAACCGCGTTTCTGTGACTGCCTTTGTGAAACTACAGTTTTAAGGAGAAAATACTCAGCAATGGTGCTGATAAATAGGTTGGCACATGGTTTGTCTAAAAGCATATTAAAAACACCACATAGACAAATAAACAACATAAAAAAACTTGATTTTCACCACAGGGGGACTTTAAAGGAAAATATTTTCAAGAAAATGTTTTGGGGACTTTTTGTTAGCTGTTTGGTTTACTTCTCTTCCTAAGTGCTATTTTTTGTAGCAATAAATCAGTATTCACCATTTCTTTTTTGACTTTGCAGC